AGAATAAATTAAGGAACAAAATGAATCTTGATACATTAAATAATCATTTGATGATTTTACTAAATGGACCTGAAATTAAAGACTTTAATTTTGAGAAAGCATGTGAATATCGGGAAGATAAAAAAAATAGGAGAATTAATTCATAGAACTATTTAATTTAAAAATTTCTTGTGATCATATGTGCACAAAATTTTTTTTGCAGAACATAAGATCGACGAATTTTCAACACTGATATATACAGTAATTAGTATATTGATTTGTTTTTAATATAGTTCCAATATATATATTAATATCATGCATCAAATTTGGACAAAGTTAGCGATGAGAACCTAAGGTTTTAATAGTTTTATTGATTATTGCCTGTTTGTGTTATTCATGACATTTTATCATCCAATCTTGATTTTATATAGCAATTCAATATCTAGAGCGACATTGGGTATTTACCATGATAATTATTCTCAATTCTTTTTTATCATGCTGATAACCCAAGGGATTCCCTGAATCCTTTAGTAACATCACCATACTGATATATATAAAATCAATATTTGATCATTGTTTATGAAAGTTTTGGTCGGCTTAATTGATCAATTTCAATTTCGTCAATTTCGTCAAATGTGACTAAATCAACAATGGTTTGATGAAACTATTCCCCTCCCGCTAAATATTTCATCAACCATTCTAATAAAGTCAACACAAAACATATCTTTTCATCTTAGTAAAGAATGTTTAGAATGTACCAAAATACATTTTATTGATAATTTTCACTATTTGTTTAAAAGCAGTTTTTGAATAATTGCCAAACGACTAAAATCATTAAAAAATCATAATCTCATGTCTTGCGAACAAAATAAAAAAACTCGTCAAGTTTGATATTTCCTTTCCATATACCATAAACAGTACCACGTTCAAAATCAGCAAGTTCTCTTCTACAAATGGACTCGATTTGTTTTAAAAAAAAATTATATTTCTTTATATTAATAAAAAAATTATATATTTATATACAAAGTTTGTAATAAAAAATTCTGTTAACTATTGACATTTTTGAAAGTATTGAATTAAGCTACGACAGTGATATTAAGGCTTAATGGTTTACGACTGAAATCTAGTCGCGGCTGCTGCTAATCGGCTAGCAACATTACCCCCTCCCCATATTGGCAGACAAGAGTACAGATTAGGTTAAGTACTGGGTTATTCCTTTTGTTGAGTTATTTCCTAGTGTCTTTTTCCTTTTTCAATACACTCCTTTAGATAAATTTTTCTTTCCTAAAGAGAGTAAGAATGCATTTGCAATTCTGGATGACTTTTTGCAATGGACTAATTACCACCTTCTACTTTTTCTTGTACATATAAAGAATGTTATAATGATTGCAATATCAACCCGGAAATAAATATTAGAGATGTCAATCGGTCCTTAACAGTCCGGCCCGGTCCGGGATTGGCAGTCCAATCATGGGATTGGACTTAAAGCCCCTAAGCTTTTTTAAATGTAATTTTCGGTCAACCTCAATTATTTTACGTATTCGAGTTAACTTTTTAGCTGCACTCGTCGATTAATTGAAAGCTTTTATATTAATATAGCTTGCTGCCTCTTTCTTGACCTAGAAAATCACAAATAACAACAAATTATAATAAAAGTAATGAAGGTTCCTATTTTATTCACTTTAAATCTGTCATTATCAGAAAATTAAGTAAAAAGTAATGGTGATGGATGAGATGATAGAAATATGCTACTACTAATAGTAGTGCTTTAATAATAAACTTTGAAAAAGAGGCAAGGGATATTTAATATTTGAATAGGTGACGTTGCAACTTGGAAAAGCTAAAGATGATTATATAATAGCAAGATTCTTATATAGTAGAATTGAGATGTCAATATTTTTATTATCGCAAAAAAAACTGGAACAAAAGACTCTTTAGAATAATTAATATATAATAATAAATAAATAAATAAATAAATAAATAATTTTTTTTTACAATATACTACAATAAATAAATAGATAAAATGTCAAAAATGATGATTATAATAAATCACAATTTTTAATGTCTAAATAAAGTTGACCATTGAGGTGGAATAGCCCAACCATGTTGTCTTGCTACCCTAATATATGCGTCCATGGCTTCCTATAAAATATTTATAAATGTTATATATTTGCATTCATAAATTGATACTTATTGTTACAATTTCATTTATATATAATAAGTAAATAAATAAAGATTACTTACTCTTGGACTGTATTCAATTCTCCAATTCTTGTCAAGTCTTGCAGGTGGACTTAAATCACTTAATGCCAATTTAACTTGTAATAAAACTGATTCTATAGTGAACTCGGACGACCACCCTTTATCATTCCTATTGCCCAATGTTAAAATCTCTATACAAATAGATCCTCCTGCTGTAACCTACATTTTTAACATCAATATTAAAAAGAAGTTAGATTTTTTTTTGCCAGAATATAATACTTGGCGAAAAAAATTTTTGGAATAAATTCATTTGTTATTTTTTTTTTTTTTTCTTACATGACCACCTCCACCATTAAGAAATCTTAGTAATCTTGGTCTTATTACACGAATATATCTATAATAATATTGATAGAGATCAATCAGATTATCGCTATGTTAAACTAATAATTATTAAAAATTTTTTTTTAAATAATACTAAACGGAAACTTACGGTGGTAAAGCGGGGAAATCAGGAGAAAATCTAACTTCTAGATCAATACTGGTAACATTATGTGCTGCCATATCTTGAGCTAATGGAATACTTGGATCAAAATTTTTAAGTTGCACAACCTTATAATTTGAATAATGTTTAACATTTTATTTTATCAAAGAAAAAAAAAATTTTTTTTCCAAGCAAATAAATATTGAGACTACAAACCCATTGATAAACTGATCTTAAGTTTTCAAGCTTAACATAAAAACCCAAGTCATTAGAAGCTTTATTTTGATTATTTACAATCATCTTCAGCTCTCGATATATACGTTGTGTTGCTGTCTTAGTTGAATGCTCTAATTAAAATATTAAATATTTTAATTTGACTAATTAATTAACTAACTAACCCATTCAAAAATTAAATATTTTTAGTAGTATACATACCGGGAAGTGGTAATAAAGAAGGATCAAAGTCTTATATTAAACCCATCCAATTAATTAAAACATTTAATTTGAAATTAGTTATTAATCATTTAATTCATTTCATTTAGAAGAAATTAATAAATAAATTAACTAATTTAGAAATGCAACTAACCATCGTCTTCTAATTGTTGAATTTCATCGTTGTGATTTATTATTCTCGAAAGACTATTACTAACAATGCTATTATTAACACTACTACTACCACTACTGTTACTACTGTTATTGTTGTTATTATTAATGTTATTGTTATTAATATAGTTGCGATTATTACTACTAAATGTTGTAATGAGGTGAGAGTAATCGGTTGGTTTTGACTTCCGATTCATCCTTTATTTTAAAAAATTTTTGAATAATTTAAAAATTTCAATTTTAATTTTTTTTCCAAAAAATAAAAAAAGATATCTTTAAATAAAAATGGGATTGAATTTGATTTTATTTACTCGTTTATTATTTGTAATAACAACGATGATGACGACGATGTGATGAATCGGAGAAATGGTGTATTAACATATTTTTTCCATTTTGTTCAAATGTATTAATATAGATTTATTATTATTATTATTTATGACTTTTTTTTTCATACTTCTATTTTTAAATTTCTTGGTTTTATTTTTTTTCTTAGAATGACAAGATAAAATAAAATATTTTTTTTGGGAAATTACAGTATTATGTGTAACATTACAAAGTTGGAATGGACTCTATCAATTTATCATGCATATATGCATTACAATTTACAACATAATAATATAACATTATTCATTTACATGCTTTTATCACAAATAATAAACAATAGTGCTCGCCTGTATATGAACTATCTCTAATCAATCTGGCTAGCAGGGATGTCATGTTAAACTAGTTGAATATATAATTCAATTTGTTCGTTTGAAAGAGCAACCAAAGAAACATCTTCACTATATATACATACAGCCATTGTCAATTAAAAAGCACACACAAAATTTGCTTTTTTTTTTTACTTTAATACATTGTATTTATATATGTAATCTACTTTTTATTATTATATAATAGATGATTATTATTATATTATGATACAGTCAAATCTTGTCACAGAGGATGAACGGAACACATAATAATAAGAAAACCTTATTCAAAATCCGTTGTGACAAGAATTTAATTATAGTCCGCTGTGACAAAGGTTTGATTGTAGATGGTCATTATGATAAAAAATAATAAAAAATAGAAATTATATGCAATATAATATTTGGTAAGAGTAGTAATGTAAATTTTATTTATAAATCCCAGGTCTTAATGCTTTACATCCTTTTATCAATAGTCTACGTTGTGCCAACCCTGTTTTTCAATAATAATAAGGTATATATGTCATTAAAAAGCATGTATTTTTCCGCAAAAAACATCCGCAAATTTGCGCAGCATCATGAAAGTATCCAATTTTATTGGTGGGTTGGGTGCGTGTTATCCTTATTTAGAAATTGATTTGGCGATTTTCGGATGATTTTTGCGGAAAAATACATGATTATTAGTATTAGGTCATTTATTAATAGTTCCAAATAACTGTCGGAAATAGTTGCATATCCTTCAAAAAAAATAATAATAATACTTTTGAATATTTTATCACGATCAAAAATATAATTCCAATTAATAAATGTAATATGTTTCAAATTTTCATATGCAAGCTAACTCTTGATCTAATCCAGTTTTGATGAATACTCTAGAAGTCGATAGTCTTGGAATTCTTGGCCAATGTTTATCATCATACGAATGACTTTTAATTCAAGTCTAAAAGACAAAAAATGATAATTCCAAAATTTCGAGATTTGGGAATGAAATAGATTTAAAAGATTTTATAACATTTTTATTCCTAATATTCAAGTTTAAATCCTTTAAATTTTGAAATGTTTGTATTAATAAAATACCTAAATTATTTATTCCATCACTTTATAATGGATTGATTATTTATTGTGAATATTTGAAATTGCATCTATTAATTTGTCTAAACAAATAATGTCACCCGAACTCTAAACTTTAATTTGATTTTGAGCTTCAATCAACCGTGCTGGACCATTATTATTAATATTAAGGTTATCATCGTAGCCACCATCTATTGCAAAAGATTGAATTAGAAATTAAAAATTATTAAAGAAATAACATTTCATTTCATTGAGATTCCCAAAACAAATATTAAATCTAGGATGATTAATTAACCAATTCGCAATCTAATTCACACAAGTTGAAAGCATGCTAATAGTTGTTGAGTGATTCTAAAATTAATTTATGGCTCTTTTCTCTATGTAATTGACTTCTATGACATTATTGTCATGATAGCGTGATCACTATTGGCTTTAATACTGTATAATGGTGGTGATCTATTCAATAGTTGAAAATTCAATTTGATATTATTTTTTTCTAAAAAAATCTTTTTCCTCTGTTAAAATCAATTAATTGATGTTCTGAAGCTTGCCTTTACAATATAATGTATCTCTTCGCAATGTTGGAATATTAAAATTATGCAAATGTTTATTAACTAAAGTGCAATAATATAGTGTTTTATAATCACACTCTTATGTTCTATGTTTAATTTCATTTTTTTTTTTTGTTCTGCTGTTAAACCTTTCATCTCATCTTGACTCAAACGATACCCAATTCTTGTTTTTATATAAGAAAACCCTTCTTGCAACGCATATCATTCAAGATGAGTTTCGAGTTTGAATACAAAGTTCATTTTCCGAATTTTCATTTGTAACGAAAGAAAAAAGGTAAAAATTTAACGAAAAAGGTAAAAAAAAAAAAGTAAACAGCGCGAGAAAAAAATAACTTATCAATACAGTGAAGCCTTATTTCAATATCTATGTCCAGCCACTTCGTTATAACAAGGTTATAGTTTGATGGTCAGATCACATGATCTGTTGAAATTACTGCTAATTTTTATAATAATACATTCATATTCATTTTAATTAAACTGTTAATTAAAATAAATTGTCTTTTCTTTTTCATAAAATAAAAAAAAATTAACATAAATAATGATACTAAAAGTAATCGCAGGAATTTTTGCGTCACAACATCACATCAATTTTCAGAATTTTTATTTTAATAAATTAGTAAATAGTTATAATAGAAAAAAAATTTTCACTAAATTTTTTAAAAACAACGACCTTGCATTTTCAAATATCAAAGAAATCCTCATTTTTATTCTAAATATAAAACTATTCAATTGGTCAACAAAATAAATAAATACATTTTTAAACAACGACATCATACAAACGTTATTGATAATATTTGTAATAAACAAAATATTTTTAAATTATATATTTATTATAATAAATAAAAGTATAATAAAGTCGTCCAGCAAATAACAATTGTTAGTTATCGTATAGCAAACAAAAACAGGATAAGCTACTCAAATATGTCCTGAAAGTATCTCATAGAAAATAGTCACTCACGTCAAAAAATAGAACATTAAGATAATATCATAATACTGTAATAATAGATAAAAACAGAATTACTATTGGCTGCTCTGTTGAGTTAGACTTAGTCACCTGACTTGAACAACGCTGTCTAAAATAAATTTTAGGTTTTTACCAAAATTAGAAATTTCTGGGAAAAATCAAGATTCATATGGAACGTGTACCATTGATAAACATATATACACACGAGTTATTCCTATATCACCACTACCACTGCTTAAAAAAACCTCCAAATAGAAATATATAAATTGAACGAATATAATAAAAACAATACGCTAACATACCACACTATTTACTATATGAAAAAAAAAATTTAATTTTGGTGTCAAAAATATTAAGATACGTTTCAGTATTTTATGCTATTACTATCAAATTCACGCACAACATTCTCACTCAACTTTTTTGTGGCCAAAATATATCATTGCAAAGAGGGATCTTGTAATCCTGTAATGTGAAAAAGAAGCTCCCAGCCACAATTCCGAAGAAGTTAAATCTTCTTAAACCTCACTATTTTGTAGGGAGATAGTAGATGATCTGAAAATGCAAAGCAACTAGCATAATTTTTCGGCTAGTCAGTCACTTATTCTCAGAATAATGACTTTTAACGATGATTAAAGTGTGAAAACATGATAAATCTGTTTTTCTTTCCCTATATCTCACTTTATAGTTTTTTTTTTTGATATAATAGCACCTTTAAATGCTAAAACAAAAAATTCAAAAACTTCAACTGGTAAGTTTTTATAGTTTATGATTTTAGCTTCAAAACTTATCGCTAGATTTTTCTTAGACTAACTAAAAAATTGTAGTATTTCAAATTTTATTATACATATACATTTTGAAAATTAAATTTCATGGAGAAAATGCTTATTTAAATTCGTATTTCTCCTTAACATTAATATTAATTTTAAAATTTTCTTTAGAACATAATTTAAACTAATTGCTTTAAATTTTGAAACGTTGCTATTGAGGGTCTACAGATTATTGATTGTGATTGTGATACTATCTTAATATTTTTAAAGATTAAATATTTACACAACTATTACATAGCTAATTTATTAAACTATATAGGATGGTTGGTTAGTCAATCATTCGCAATCTATTTCAAGTAACAAATTTTATCAGTAACACCTTTAGAAAGTAATAGATCCCTCCATACTAGTCCAATGTTAATGTTATACCGTTGTTTATTAATCATCATCATCAAATTTTCAATTGATTCTAATCTTTTATTTCTGTGTTAACCATTGCTTATTGTAAAAACTGTGTGATTTCTTGTAGAACACCACTCGGAAAGTTGCCACCGGTTTTCTTTAATTCTATTACGAACAAAACATTGTTTTGAGATATCTGTTATAAATTCCATTTGTTGACTTGGACAAGTTTTCA